GAACAATTTCTACGAGAGAAGGTTAAAGTCAATGGAAAAACTGGAAATCTTGGAAATGTTGTTCACATTGAACGTTTCAAGAATAAAATTACAGTTGTTTCTGAGAAACAGTTCTCTAAAAGGTTGGTATGTTTTGTGTAAATTAACTAAATTATGGTATTCTGGTACATATTCTAGAACAGCCTTTTAGCTCACCATCTGTAAAAATGTCAGTGCAGGGCATCAAAAATACTTTGAATTTATGAACGGCCTATGTTAGTGCTATCCAGTTTGTTTTGATTCATGGTGGTGATTATGTGCTGTGGAGTCTGTTCTGACTCATAGCGACCCTGTACAGGGTTTCCAAGGCTGTAAATCTTTACGGGAGCAGAAAGCCTCATCTTTTCTCCTGCGGAATAGCTGGTAGTTTCGATTGCTGGCTTGAAGGTTTGCAGCCCAATTCTTGACCAGAGCTCCTTGTTGAGTGCTGTCAATTCTGACCCATAGGGACCCTGTAAAGGGTTTCCAAGGAGCAGCTGGTGAGATTGAACCGCCGACCTTGCAGTTCAAATGGCTTTGCAGTCTGATGCATTAACCCATACATAGCACCACACCAGGACTCCCCCAGAGCTCCTAACAATCCTATATATGGTTTGCAAGGAGTGCTTGGTGAACTTGAACCACCTACTTCAATACAAAGGTGCAGTCCAGCTCATTAACCCACAGCACCACACCAGGACTCCTATAGGAATGTAAATATATTCAGTAACTGCATGCCAACTTCTGTGTGACAATTTGCTGGAATATAGGCAAGGTTTTATGGCCTTGTGATGCAAGTTGAAGTATCAAAATAAATATCATGAGCTTAATTCTAGTGGACAACACATTGATAATGTATAAGAACTTTTTTAAGTGGGAAAGGTTTAGTACAAATTAAATGTAAACCATGTAAATTTGGAAATATTCCTACCAGACAATAAATAGGCCTGGCAGCTTCAAATAATACAAAGAGGCCAGTGTTCCTGTAGTGTGTTGCATTTTGGGAAGAGTGATGATATGAAGTCAGTTGTGTGTGTTGGGGGCGGGGGTCCTCAAAAGAAAATGTATCAATTTAGCACATTTACCATATGTATGTGCCATACAAGGCCAGAGTAATGCTGGCTGTGGCGGCTATGTTGTATCTCTGGTTTGACTGATTAGTAATGGTGTGAGCCACCTCCATTTTTGCATGACAAAACTTGGTTTTGAAACCTAAACATACTCATGAAATTAGTGGTTAGTATGAATAGAGATGCCATAGAGTTAGAACCAACTTGACAACAAACTGATTTTAGTTGAATTTGAAGAACTTCAAGAATGCATTGTCTTCCATATATAAACCATTGCATTTTGTAATAAAATTCATGTTTTAATTTTTAAGGTATTTGAAATACCTTACCAAGAAATACCTTAAGAAGAACAACCTTCGTGATTGGCTTCGTGTGGTTGCATCTGACAAGGAGACTTATGAGCTTCGTTATTTCCAGATTAGTCAAGATGAAGATGGCTCTGAGTCTGAGGACTAGGTGGAGCCTTATAGGGCTTTGCTTGCTAATAAAACAGTGAAGCATACTGAGAAACACCTAGGAATGGACTTGTAATTTATTGGTGAATAAAAACATTGTACTCATTCATGCCTCGGTTTTTGTTTAGAGATGTTCAGTGTACATGATGAATAATTTAGAGTTTTATAAGTAATCATCAAGTAAAAGGTATGTAATGTTATATGGTGGTGGTGTGAAGTGGAGTCAATTATGCCCCTGAGTGCCTAGAATAGTTCTTGTACATAGATGTACAAGGTACTTTAAGTGAGGTGTGTTAGCCAGCCTAACACCTAACAGAAGGTCAGGCAATGTGGGAAAGGGGTTTGGCAGGCTGAGTCCACATGTGTAAACTCAGGACATTGGGGATATCTGGCTGAATAGAATACATCTGGGAGAGGGGGTGAGCATTTCAGAAGAATCTAGGAAAGCAGGGTAAAAAGCCCATGCAGCACTGAAGAGTAATGGAAAGCTATTGAATTTAATCAGGATGTGAGTGGAGTTGGTTCTGACCCATAGCGACCTTGTATAGGAATTCTGAGGAGCTGCTGGTGAGCTTGAACCACCAACCTTGCAGATCATACCAGGACTCTTGGGGAAAGATGGTTGTATTTGTGTGTAGTGTTTTTAAGTCAGAATGGATGTAGGGAAAAGGCAAATAGTGATTTGGAAATGGACTGAATGTTAGTGATGAGGCAGTGTCAAGGTGGAAGAAGGGAAGAGTTTAGACCATACTGAGTTTGAGGAACCTTTGTTATCTTGGAGATGTTGAAGTTGATTGTAGGTCTGGAACTCAGGTGAATCTTAGAAGTCTTTTTCACATAGGTAGTAAGCAGTGGACCTGTAAAATAAGCACTTTGCCACAAGGTCAATTTGAGTCAAGATCAGCCA